GCCGAAATTCGGCTGCGGATTTATCGACATATTGAAACAAGATGCTTAGCAGCAAGGTTGTATGCGTTCGAGGACAACAGCGAAATACACCGATATTTATGGTGGTTTCTGTGCTTATGACTAGTGTATACGTATGTGCAAATAAGCATGAGATGGTATGAAACCTGCAAGTGTAGATCTTGGGGGGGGTGACCATATATATATATACATACATACATACACACACACACACGGTAGCTACACATAGGTTCGTCGCAAACATCGCATACGCCCGCGAGCGAGAGAGAGACAGAAGAAGAAGAAGAGGAGAGATGACCGGCCACCTGACCAAGCAAATAAGACTGAAAGATGTGCATGCATACATGCGTGTTCAGCTGGGTCTCAAGCCTCATTCCCAAACAGCCCACTAAACCCTGAATCCCACTGGAAGTTTGGAGACTTGATGTGCTGTCGTAAGCATCTTGGAGTTCTAGATTTCCATGATCGCAGCCATGAGGCCCCTGAACCGCTAATAATGGCCCTGCAACTGAGGTTGGTATGATCTTCTTCGAAGTGGCAGGGGGGCCCTACGGTGCCGAGCCGGTCATCCGCAAAGGTCCCTTGTTGAGGGAAGTGTGGGAAGATTCGGGGAATGTTTAGGGTTTGGGGTGGGGGGGTGGAAGCAGGAATCCCCAAGCGTGGGCCAGAGGCTTCGTTTTCGCAACGGGCCTTCTGGCGTTTGAGCGGTTTTGAGTCTGGGGCTGAACTACCGCTACATCATTCTAGACGAGCTGTGACGGCGAAGCGCGACGACTGCCTCGAGCTGCAAAGCTTTCGGTGGAACCTGATCCGGAAGTGGACGAGGTTTCCGGCGCAAGGCCAAGGATCTTAAAAATGACGAACGATTGTCGGAATTCAATGCAGGCGGGCCGTTGCTGGCGATTCTGGGATTTCTGCTTATCCCCCTGATCTGGTCGTTGCCCATCGCAGAGCCTTGGTCTGTACATTCAGAGAAAACATGCCAGTCAAGCTGTGTCAACTGTCCTGTCTGCGCACTACAGTAGCTCTGGGCGAATAGTTTGTGCACATGTGTTTAGGCACATGAATCTATGCCTTGCAGATATACGCATATCTGCAGCGAACTTCACACTGGTTTGTGTTGGATCTGTTGAAATACTGTAACAGTATTAATGCAACCAGGTAGAGCGAGAGACAGGAACAGACAGAGACTAAGATGGAGAGAGAGAGAGAGGTCAGTTGGTCTCACCATACTTGAAACGGCATGGTGATGCAACTTGCGGTGCTATGCTGGATGACGCTGTGTTGCACAACATTGCTGGAGTCCAAATATTTCATAAACTAGGCCAGATCTTCAGAATCGGCTCCTTGTGTAGGATGTGCTGATGGCGCGCCAAGACAACTGCACAAGTGAAGCCCAAGCAAGGACAGCAGGCACTAGGTTTAGCCTTTCAGCTGTTCCGTTCAACTCAAACCTGCACGTGGTGTGGAAGGGCAGCCTTGCTAGCGTGGTGCTTAATCTTGTGCACAGACGGCGGAGATTACATTCGCACGATCCCATGATCTGAAACTGAGGTGATGACCGCCGAGCTTTGTAGCCACGACCCGCATGTTGGCCAAGACCTCGGATCTGTGCAGCGGGGAACGGGGGCAAGGCGCAACAAGCGAACATGGAAGGCCATGAATTTGTGGATTCTCGTGATGATGTTGTAGGCCAGTGACATCTTGTGACTAAGTCTAGTGGCATCTAGTGATCAAGTTCACCTGCTAGACATCTCATTCTTTAGGCTGCATTTCGTTGGGTTGCAACTCCGTGCAGATGTTTCCCCAGATTTTGCAAGCCGTGCACCGCAAAGCATCCAGCATCTCTGATAACAGGGGCATGTAGACAACGCGGACGCAAGCATATCGAATATACTCTTGGGTCATAACCTGGAAAATATTGACTTGGCTGATCCGAGACAGGTGGCAAGATCCACTTTGTCCACAAATGCTGGGGCCCGTGGGTGGGCTGGATGAACGGCAACTTTGACGGCAGTTTTTGAGAAGAAGGGGTGCAAAATGAAAGGAGATCGTGATCGATGTCTACAACATACTCTTATCGCAACTAAGCCTGTGTGCTTCACTCTCAGACAATCTCACTGCTAAGCAAAAGAGGCTAGTGGCTAGGACAAGCTTGAGCTGGCAAACACCTGCTCCTTCTTCCTACACCTCTGCTACTTTTCCCATTGATTGATCATGTAAGAACTGTGACCACGGTTGCGGCAGGTACAGCATGTTTATCATTTCGGAACCACTTGATCATACCACGGCGAGTACTGCCCAGGTTGGTTCAACGCCGTTAGCAACGTGTTCGATGCCTGTCTTGATTCCTGTGTGTGGATCCGCGAATTGCCGACCTGTTTGTGGGGGGGGGGGGGGGGTGCAGGGTGTACAGTTGATTGCGATTGTCAGCAAGGCTCCTGCTTAGCAGTCGTGTCACTTTACGTAGCACCTGCCCGAATTCAGGGCTGAGAGTTTAGTTCGAAGATTAGTGGCTGCACAAAGATGGTGCTGAAAATGCCGACTGCTTGTTAGTTACACATTGCTGAGGACGTAGCCACTCTGCCTGCTATGGCGTTGGGCTACCTCGAGGTGCTCATAGGCGGCGCCATGTGCAGACATTCTTGGCGTGCGCATGACGAGCTGCTGACAAAGTGTTTGGGCCAAGATAATCGGTGTTGATCGTGTTACATACAACAGGAAAACATGAATCTGCAGGCACAACGCTCTCCGCCACACAACGCTGGTGGACCAGCTTTGTGCTGGTGGCAGCCGTGACTAATGCAGCATTAGAGATACTTGTAGGTGTTTGTCTGTGCTTATGTGTATACAATAGAAGCGGAAGAAGGTAGCACCTGAGCTTCTCCACAAACTAAGGCAGTGGTGACCAATGTCGCCGGGGTGGAGATCGCATCCCGGATGGCATCGACATGCAATTGGGAGGTCATGACAGGCATGTTTCGGAAGTAAGGTCATCTTCCCTGGTGTGAGTCTGCGTACCGTGCATGTTCTTGGCTTGGAAGGTTAGAGGGGTCTGGCATGCCCAGGAACGCAGGCAGCTTGCGATGCATCTCTTCGTTTTCAACACCTGGACCTTGAGAACAACTCCCAAACTCGAGACGCAAATGACGCGCTTGAGCAGACCCAGGTCGGTGATGTCTCCTATGTCCTGTGCATCGTGGTGTGCCTTCCCAGCTTGGTCCTGGTACTGCACCTCAGCACTGACTCGTTGCCCTTGGTGGGGACCAGAAGATTGAAAGATTGGGAAGCGTCCTTGCTTTGGAGTGCAGAGTTTGCAGGCTTTAGCAACAGGACATGATCTCGGATGTTGGGGCGTGAGATTGTGCGCAGGGCTTCGGGCCGCAAGTTTTCAGATCTAGGGAGGAATCGGGTTCTGTTTGTCCCGCCAGAATTGGCACTTGAGCTCGGACCCTGCTAGTGGGCCATCAAAAGGGCAATGGACAGAGCAAGAACAGGCCACAGCGTAAGGAAGATGTGCAAAGGGCGGTGAGACTTGATTCTGGGATGTAGCTGCGAGAAACCTGGGCCCGAGCTTAAGCGGCGTCGCCGTCCCAGAGCATACACTAACCTGCACGCGCAACGTCCAGGTCCCCAACCCCCAAAGTTACATTCTCAAGCCGTAGCTGGTCTTCCCGGAGTACAAGGCCTTGTTCCCATGCCTTCAGTGATCCTCAAAGACGCAAGGATCGGCACCCCAGAGCTTGCAGACTTCCCGGCACAGGCGGACATGCAGGAGGTGGTTCGGCATGCTGTTGCTCAGGACAACAAACGACAGAAGCTACCGACACTTTCGGGCTTGGGTGTACTGGGACGGATTTGGGCTTCCAGGGTTCATCAGGTTGTGGAGCATGTTCCAGAAGGATTCCGTGTTGAGACTTGGAGATTGGATCAAGAGCCCAGTGCCAGAAAGAACCTCTTTCCCGATTTTCTCGGTCGGCGTTGGCTTTCGCGGATGCGGTTGGAGTCTGGAACCATTTTGGCGAGTCTTAAAACAAAGGCAGACGTAAACAGATACAATCAGTGGAGTTGCTAGACTTGAAGGTCTTCCGAAGGGGTTACGACATATCAAGGCCTGGCATGCGCCCAAATCCGAGCCAGTCACCCTGCCAGGTAATGTGGCTGCATTTCCTGACCTCGCTGATGTGGAACACATCAGGCAAAGTGCGGGCAATGTGGGTCGTAGCTATCTTGTTCAGGCAAGGCAGCCTTTAAATCACAATGCTGACAAACCATCCCATTCAACTACATGCTACTTTAGATGCTGTACCAGCCCGGAGTCGAGACTTCGACTTGAGGGCCGGCTCCTCCCATCTGCTTCAGTCGAAGCATCGAGGTTCAGTCATGATGTGTGAGGTGTCCCGAACCTTTGATTGCGGTGTATCTCATGTCCTGAACCCCAAACCCTGCGTAGAACCCATGCCCACGAGCCACCAAGCCACTGTCCACCGCGCTCGAACCTAAGCCAAAGCTCCACCCTCAGAAACCCCGAGCCAAACAAAGCAAAGCCGGCTCGAGGCTTTGATGATGCAGGTGCCTCTGCAGCTGAGGCCACTTCAGAGCATCATAACGCACTGATGGTGGCACGCATGGTTGCATGAGCTCGCAGCTCGCCACGTACCGGGACAGATCCGGGACAGTGGATCAACATATGAGCCAAGCCCACCATGCAGATATTGAAAAGCATGGACAGGTGCGCGCACCCGCGAAGATCTATCCCAAAGCGAATCTCGGCTTCGAAGGGGGCTGGGCCTTTGCGTTGAGCATCTTCCATAGCACAATGATTAACCAGGTCCTGGAGAGTGTTTGTAACAATTGGCAATGGTTTTCCTGTGTGCCCACACCCAAACATCTATCAAGACCGTCCATCCTTGTCAAAGCTGTTCGTCGGAGCTTTGCGTGATGATGGAAGTTTGCCCATTTCCCATGTAGTGTCTCAGGCTGGGAATCTCTGTGGCACTGGTTACGGCGCTCTATGCTGCCTGGATTAATCCAAGTCCAAGCATAGAATATAAGGAACACGACGCTGTCGAGAATTGAGAATCGTGCAGCCTTCGAAGCAGCTTTGCCGGTGTCAGCCCTTGTGGCACAAAACAAAGAAAAGATTATCTTCCCAAGACGAAGACAGAGAAACTGATTCTCTACTTCGCCCCAAAATGAATCAGGTGTCAAGCCTTCTGTGAGTGTACCCACCAATTGCAGAATTTGAGTTTGGAACCCTGTGCCTTGAGCTTCCTTCTTGCTCCCAAGCTGCATTAGCCACGAAAGCCCGAAAGACCCATTGGCTGTTGCAGCCTACCCCAGGCCCCTACACAGACCCGATGCCTCGAGGTCTTGCCACTGTCCGTCGGGGTGGCCGTGGACTCCGCGCCGGAGCGTTGGCACGATGGTCGCCAGGCTTTGGTTTCGAAGCTTCTTCGTTGTCGCTTCAATCCGGAATCAAAGGCGGAAAATGTATACAGTGCAGCTCGAAACTGCTTGAATCGACTTCGGAGAGTACACAGGCCAGTGCAAGCCGTGATGTTCCCGGACCCAAATCTCAGGCTTCCTGGCCACGGTGGGCATCTTGGCCCGTCTCAGTGTCGGCAGAAAGGGCCTCTTGATTGTTTGTGAGGTACTCAGAACCCGTCTCGAACATAGATCGGGAATGGCAGGAGAGAGACGGTGCCGTAGCCCTACCAACGCAGTGGAGTACCCTGAGTACCCCCATCCGTAATGAAGAGAAGCACTGGTAGGAGATTGTCAGCAGTTTGCCCCGCAGCCCCCGGGTGGAGGTGAACGGCTTGGAGGTGCACCTTTGGGCTTCGTTCCTCGGTGCTCAACGTATCGCATGCACTTTTCTGGTCGATAGTTTGCCCGATTTGTGGATGCATGGCGAGCTCCTGAGCTTCTAACAACTCCTGACCCGGAACCAGACTGAAAGATGGGAAATCCGCACCAGCTTTGGTCATCACAGGGTTCTGTCGATAGCTTTGGACTGTGCCGGCATGTAAGCAGACTAAAGGTGTGAGCTTTGTGTGTGTGTGTGGGTGTTTGTAAACGTGAAATAGAGGGAAGAAAAGAGAGAGACAGAGAGAGAGAGAGAGAGAGTGGGTGTGTGTGTGTGAAGACAAGAGATGAACACTGCGGGGATACTTGCTTCTCAGGCAAATGTCGCTATACTGCACTGCACCATTAGATTTGCGGTTTGTGCTTTGTTGTACCATTAATGAGTATTTACTGCAATTCTTCTATGCTTGATATCTGTAAAAGTGCGACATTGATTATCCACGGGAATCCTGAAAATCATGAAGCGCTGTGTTCGAGAGTTTCGTCTCTCAGCAGCATGCGATCCGTGAGTGCATAATGTAACGTACATACCATCTATCGGTGCTGAAATATCGTCTATACGCTGCCTTCGTCATGATTGGTTTGCAACCGAATGTCGATATGTTTGATGGGTGACATGCCGTCGGGAAAGGGGGGAATCATCAATCTTGCGTATGCCATACTCGTGTTCATCATATTCCCTGAAACACGAAGCCGATGTCCACATGGAGAGCAAATCACGGGAGGAAAGTTATCGTATACTTTAAGGCTTCAGTCCAAAACTCCCATGAAGTTCTCTCGTAGCACATCCTCCATGCACGACAACATCCTAGCTGGGCCTGAGGAGTATGCCCGGGAAAGAGAGAGAAAGAAAGATAGAAAGATAGAGAGATAGAAAAAGAGAGAGAGAGAGAGAGAGAGAGAGAGAGAGCGAGAGGGGGAGGGGGAGGGGTAGAGTCGCTTTGCGTGTGTGTGCGTGTGTGTTCATGGATCTTCGAAATCACGAACCTGATCCTCCTGCACGATGCCGTTGCAGGCCTTATGTAGACTCCCTGGAACTGCCTACGATGGCAAATCTCGACACCCGAGAACGCAGCACTTTCCAGGCTCTGAGCTTGGCTGGCTTCGCCTCATCCGTAGCCCAGAAACGTGGCAGCAAGAGCTCAAGGCTTCGGCCTGATCTCGGAGGGGTCGAAGATGCAAAGAAAAAGCTGGCCAGAAGAATATTTGATACTGGAAGACTAGATGTATAGCATCACGTACAATGGTATGCCGTAGTCTATGCGTGTGTATGTGTGCACATATATATACATATATATACTTTTAAACATATGTGTGTATGTCTATGTGTGTATATATATATAGAGAGAGAGAGAGAGACAGAGAGCATTGATTTATTTATTTTCGATACTGCCATTGGTTGCTGCTTGTTTGATGGACTGACTGGCTGATTGACTGGTTGATTGATTGATACTGGCGGATTGAGGTAGAGTTCGGAGTCTGCAGCTGCCCTGGACATACATTGGGCACTGCTATCAGTGCGGGCACGGGTGAGCATAGGAACCATCAGTCTGGGCAGGGCAGTGGACGTTCGATGTCAGCTTGTTTTCGCGATAAGAGCGTCTCTGGTTCGGTTTGCATCTCAACGTTCGGAGGCAGTTGGTTTGCCCAATCCCACACACCAGGATCTTGTGAAAGCTACGTGCCTGCCATCACCTGGTTCATGGTACGGGTAGGGATAGCTACCAGGCGAAATCACGAAAGGGCCACATGCCTGAGGCTCAATGCCCTGCTTTGCACCTCCGTGCGCGAGATCATTTGCATGGCCGAACAGCCCGGGCAACCTGCCGCGCGGCTCAAGAGGAAGCGGGGTTAAGGGTTGTTACACCAAAGCGACTGCACCTGGGGCTCCCGACTTGTGGGAAGTGTATCGGATTTGTTTGCATCAGCTGGTGACCAGTGCATTCGCCTGACCTTAGGCATGCATGCCGTTCAACAGCAATGGGCCGGTCTGCTTCTATTGGCACCATCTTGATAAATGAGCACACACAGACAATCCTTCGAAGCAAAACTAGCCATACAGGGCCATTGGGGCTATAGATACACTTCTGCAGAGGTGCCTGCTTGCCTCGGCACCGTGCACCCGAAGCTGCAGACACCGCATATCGGCACAGTGACTCGCTCGCAGGATCAATCGAAGCGAGGTCGGCCCAGTCCTTCATCTGTGCCCCCGTAAAATTTGAAATCCTACACCCCCAAACCTTGTCCAGGTGCTGTTTGGGCTTGTGCTGACCTTGACTCTTCAATATCACTTCGTGGAGCTCATCGCCGCTACAGTCATTTTCGACTGCGCCACGTGCCTGAAGAGGTTTGGTGATTCGGGCTTACAACGGTGAAGCTCGGCAGTGCATGAGGTTCAGAATGCCTCCAAGCACCTGCCCAAGAAATTGCACAGGACCCAGATGCCATCAGTGGTGGACAGGAGCCTCCAAACAAGACGTGAGCTCACCTGGTGCTGGATACCTGCTTGCTTCTTTACCCTTCATGCAATTGCTGCAACCACAACCAGCGTGTTGAGTTTGGCCACCTTTTTGCAGTTTCTTGTTCAAGGCTAGTTACTGGAATTTGCTGGTGCATGTAGCAAGAGCGGTTGTCACTGCGGAGCCTGGAGGTCGTGTCAGGAAGATTGTAGAGGGTGATAACTTGGCGAATCAGGGTCTGCACCACCCAGGTTAGTTTCATCATCCAGTTCGCCACATGGATCCGCTTCAGGCCTTCGTGTTTTTGTGGTGGCTCGTTCTCGTAGGTGAGACAAGCACTTTAATTTGCTTCGCGAAAGTGTAGGTCGGGTTTCTCCGAAAATGTCAAGAAACTCTGATGCTGCAAGCTTTCTGCTCGCCTGAGATTTCGTTCACTGTTTCCGGGAATAGCTTGCAACTGGTTGTCTACACAAATCCCGAAGCCATAGTCTAGCAGCCCTGCGAGAAATTAAAACACTTGGACCCTAGTTCGTCGAAGCCCAATTTACATGGCTAGGTGGGAGACTCCGGCAGACGAGAATGAAGCAGCTTTTCGCCTGCCGGTCGGCTTCACAGGGGTGTTGCTGTGGAGCTCAGGACACGAGTTGCTCGCAGCTCTTGGAGTCTAGTCCGTAGCAACTTGAGCACTGAAGGATTGGGATCTAGACGTGAGGTCAATGGGTTCAGGCGTAGGCTTTACCTGCATGAGATTCTGGAAGGTTGAGCAGACAGTGTAAGACCAAGCGCATACTGCTTGCAGCTGCCTTTTAGAACATTTCGCAATCTACACTCGCTCTTCAGGGTCCTTGAAATCACGCAAATGTAGGTCTCATGGTAGCATTTCAGTCGTTGGCCGTTGCCTCCGCATCCAGGCTCTGATAGGTGTTGTCGTGAGTCACATTCATAGCATCGTCAGTCATGCACGGTTTTGGCTGGCAATATCGTTTGCTTGTATTCTCCGTGGATGGTGATATAGCGCAGAGGACCCGTCCTCCTCTCTGCGCTGGTGCTTTTCCTGACGCTGTCCATGGGCGGCCCAGCGCTGTATGGAACGGTTCTGGCCTTCGTTGTGGGTGCCCAGGCAGCCCTCAGCCTTTCAGGATTCATAAAATGGCCGAAATCCTGAACCCAACTTGTCAACCTGCGCTCGTACCTTGGAAGCTTCTTTCGGGCATTCGTGAACTTCTCAGATTTTGAAGCATTTTTGGCTCGGGGACGAAGCATGCCCTTAACGAACTGTTGCTACGGCTTGAGGGCGCACTATGCTGCAGGTATTACCTTTTGCAGTACTACTATTATCATTGTCATGTCACGTCGTTCCGATCTTCGGAGTGGTTTCCTCGCAATTCGAACCACCAGTGTCTGCTCCTTCCACCCGGGGCAGGGAGACATCGAAAATGCTCCTGACAAAGGCGTTGAGTTGAATGCCAGTAATGAAGATATTACTCATATCAATAGCAACCTCGATGCAAATGATAAACTGAATAGCATGGATAAACTAGAAGTAACTATAACAGTTATTATAATATCGGTTCTCATGGTGTACGTTGAAAGAGATAATGAGGGAGAGATCTCTGAACATGGCGATCTACAAGTTAGCTAATAATCAGTTCCACCTGCTCCAACTTGCGGAACAATCACACTCCAATGAAACATCTTGTCCTCGATGGAGAGGTTGCTAGAGACTTAGATCAATTCCAAAGGACTCGACTCTCCCGCTGCTCAAAGCACCTTTAGCTGAGGAGAAGCGTTGTACCTTGCCTACGCCGCGAAGCGGCGGTGGGAGCAGCGGTGATCCCAAGAGCGAAAGGTCGGAAAAGTGATCCGAGTAAATCTTTAAGCGCTCAGGGCTCTGGGCCGAAAGGGTGGGGAACAAGGATGTTGTCAGGCTTTGGGATTGGGTTCCTCTGCCACAAAGCGAAAGCTGAAGTCCGACGTTCCGACCGGTAGGTAGCCGTCCTGGCTAGCCGCCCGCGGTTTGACAGCATCAACAGCATCCTTGTGTCATAACTGGCAGTCTTCATTCCAACTGTGCGAGGGCGCCGGATCTGTGGCGGCGAGTGCCGTTATGACCCCATCTCCCTAGGTCCGTTTCGCTTGCGATGCGCTGGCGCAGGGCATCGCCCTCGAGGCAAGGACACCATCTTCCGTTTGCCCTCTCGTCGCTACAGCTGCTAGATGCCTGTCCTGCATCAGTGCCTGTCGGCCCGTCTATCTGCCTGCCATGTGAGCAAACGGCCACATGTGCCAGCTCTCGAAGCTTCAGTCGGAGTTGTTCTGCACATCGCAACCGCATTCGACCTTTTCATCTTTGGGCAATCCGTGAATCTGTATGGAGTGCCAGATGGCCCCAATCCCAGAAATGGTGAAGGGACCTGGGTCTCATCACTTAAACAGGGGCACCAAGGTTGATACAAAGCTTCGTCTTCAGACATTGCTGCAGAGGCACAGAAGGGCGGACTCAATGCAGAGGCGTGCGGAACCCAAGCAGAATCCTCGAGTCTGGGGGCGTTGGACATGAGCTGTAGGGTTTCACTCTTGCGAAGGCAATTTTGCAAGGAGGTTCCTGTGCCCGGATTCTACATGCAGGGGCTGTATGCGAGACTCTGGTGCCATGGACAACAATGTTGTCACTACCGGTCGCTGTCGCCTATCGGCATTCGCTAGTTGATCCTGTGCATTCAGGCAGAAACGGAGGGGAGGGCAGGGGAGGAGAGTGTTCAGGGACCTGCCTCTTGCCCCAAGTCTGCAGCTTCAAAGATGCATAGAAGTTGGAGGTACTGTTGACACGGTCCATACCCATAATAAGGAATATACCATAATTCCCACAGTCTAGGCTCCTTAGACGTAGCCTTTTCGGCCAGAGAGCTTTCCTATGCCTCTCCCAAGCTTTCTTTGCGGCAAGGCCCTGCGAGTCTTTGGCTGCGCTGCGTCGCCTGGGGGCTGTGGCCTTGTGGGCTCCTTGGGAAGCGGGCCTGGGCTGGGAAAGATAGGGGTATAGAGGCCCTATAGGGCTTTTTAGTATTTTAGTACCAGGTTTTGGAGGGTGCGAGTTCGCACTGCGTGTTTCGGGTTTTGGTGGGAGCATTTTGTGAGTGTTCGTGAGGTTGGGGCTCTCATTGTCGTACCGAATCTCCTGACAGGTTGGCTCAAGGTCAGCATGACACTTCCTTGGTATCCGTTAACGGCCTACCCATCCTTAAGTAGTTCGGAGTTTGACAGCAGGTGTTGGCCACCCATGCCACTCCCCACACAAACTCTCAAAGCACAGCGCTCACACCCAAAGGTCCTGAACCTCTTCTGCCCGGCCATCGAGTAACCCCCCAAGCCTTTTCACAGAGAGCCTGGGAAGGAGACTTGCATCTACATGTACATGACATTGATTGGTATGAACTGGAACGGTACCCATGAACATGAAGAACAACACCACTTACCCCTTACCTCACTATGTATTTGTAGGATGGGGAAGAAGCCAGCCTCAAGGTCTCCAGGTCCCAAGAGCCTTCGACCCCAAACCCACACCACAGAAGCCCTATAGACCTACGTTGTACATAGAGGCAGGGAACCATCAACTCCTCAAATCCCCAGGGTCGCAAAGCGTTGTGAAGAGCTGGCGGGAGTCATCGAGGAATAGGGGCACAGGGTCTTCCCGGGAGCATTTCGACAGCAAGGAAGGCTTGGTTGGGATGATTGTGGTTGTCGGCGTCGGCGTCAGTAACGGTAGCACGCATAGTAAGAATGCAAACACGCAGGACAACGATAGAAGGGTGGTTGAAAACATGCGAGCAATGGTTGTGACAATGTCAAAATCGTGTTGTAGGCTTCAGGTCTGGGAGGTGTGTCGAGGGCTGTGGCTTGGGGATTGGAGGTTTTTTCAGTTGAGAATGATGGGGGCTGCGGTTGAGGCTTGGAGCATACGTTCAGCTTTGGGCTTGCCGTGTCGCATGGCGCAGCCTCCTGAAACACAAGCCTTGGCAAGGTCGTACTCGTCACATAGCATTGCACCTGCATTAGATTGTCGTGATTTGGCGCATCCTGCGATACACGTCTCATCTCAAAGTGTGAACTTGTGACGGGCCCGGCAAGCTAATTGATTAACTCACACCTTCAACACTAGACTCACTAGACGCTTTGCCATCAGGAGGGTGCTGATGGAGCAGAAGGCCACAACACCGGCGATGCATGCTATCGGCCGGGTCATCATCGGTGATTCACTTCTGCTGTCAATGACGATGATGATGACGATGTTATCATACACACGACAAGAAGCCGCTGCCATAGCCACAAGCAACTACGGCGCAGGGTAGTTTTGGCTGTGGTTCTGGCTTGAACATGACTTGGCATGCTGTAGAGGCCTTTTCACCACGTCTTGCATCTGCCGTGGAAGTCAAGAAGAAACTGTGTAAATCTGAGGAGTGACAGCAAGAAATAATGCCACTACCTGCGGGAGGCGATGGCGATCCGGAAACGGTACTGTGGTCAGTCTTACGTTTGATCGACAGGTGGGCTGAACATAGCTTTGCCACTGGCGATGCGCAACAAATAGAAGGCTTACCTTGTTCCCGGTTGTATGGTTCCAAGCAGTGAGCCTCTTCCAAACTATGAAGGGAAGGTTTGCGTCAAGCGTGCTGGCTGGAGTCGGTTTCATAATTCAGCATTGGAGTTTTCAGCTTGAACATCGTCTTCAACTGAACGTTGCATATGCGGAAAAATGTCTGGATGATGCGAATTCGGGCCGCGACAGCAGAGTAGCCACGAGACAGCTAACTGGAACTTGACTCAGCTTATTAGCGGATTCGGGTCCTCACCATAAACCCTTTTGAGCGACTCCTCCTCTGCTCTTCCAACTTTCGCCAGTTTGCTGACCGTGATGGCTTGCTCTGACTCCGAGGCGGCACGCGGGCTCCTTCATTGCATAACAGATTCTGCGTGGCGTCCTTTTGCAGGTTCTTGTGAAAAGCTTCCCTTCGTTCCAGGCCTCTCTTGATATCAGGACAAGACTGTCAAAGTGAGTATGTACAAGAGTCAGGAGGGCGGCTGATGCAAACTTCGAACGAGCTTATTCCGTTTCCCCCAATCACGGGTCAAGTCGCGCGAGGTTTCTTGAGTTCTGTCAAGCTGCACATGCTAGGCTTTGTCCGACTTTGTCCTTTCAAGTCGAAGAACCTTTGGAACTGACGGCATACGACATGTACGACATATACTGTACCAAAAGGCCTCCTTTCCGGAAGGGCCTTTGCAATTCTCACGAGCCCGTTTGCGGAGGCGTGTATCTTTGACGTAGGCTCTCCTCCATCGGGCTCTTGGTGTGGATCAATGCATCTTCTCCCACGTGTTCTCCCCTGGCCACACGGCCCAATTCCTGTCAAAGGCGAAGCCCGCTCAATCCTGAATTGACACCCCCGACTGATCTCATACCTCCCCGGCTACTCACTCTGTTCAAGCAGCAAGAGGCAGCAAACGATTCAGGGTTAGTCCGCCGTTCTCGCCCAATGCCTGTTGAAAGCTCAGAGACTCCGTGCTCCAAGCTACCACACCTCCCAGAGCTTCCGAGCTGTCAGGCAAGCGTGGCGCTTGCGGCGGCCTTGGCCGCACTCCGCGCGGCGCAGCGGCCCGAAGCCCAGGTGGAGGCGCTGGAGGCCCCAGGGCTTCGGGAGGCTTCGGGAGGCTCGGGAAGCAGCTCTCAGGTTTCAGATTTGGAGGTTGAGGCCAGCAGCGGAGTCAAGTAGAGCCTTTTCCGTGATCTTGAAGGCATGCGGATCTATAGGCCTGGACTTGTCATGCGTAGAAGGCGACGCCACACGCCTGACTACCAAAAGCCAAGCTTTGGGCTGCGCAGGTAATTTCAACCCTCTTCGAGGCGACCGCAAGATGGCTTTTCGCTTCCGATTGCGGACTCCAGTCGTTGGGAACTCTTCCTGAAAACATCCCTGGGCGGCAGAGCTGCAAGCGTAGCGAAGCTCATGCACACCTTAGGCCTGGCTCCAGGCAGCAGACGTTCATTAACAAGCGGAACTAGCCCGCCTGTGGCAAGGGCGAGGCGCAAAGCGCGGCTGATGCGGATTCACGGCTGCTGCGGCAGGCAAATATGGCACAAATGACGATGTTGGGTGGCCTTGTTTCCAGGGTAGATTTGAGCCTCCATGACATGTCTAGAGTCTAAAGCATTGCCCAAAGTATGCCTGGGCGTGTACAGTATCACACTCTACTGCGAGGCAAAGGACGGGCCTTTGCACCAGTAACATACAAGAGTTTATTCCGCCCTCAGCTGTTTTGTTGCTGGCTCGGCAGATGCTGACACGTGCCAAATCCCAGATTTGTCCTTGATACCGGAAGTTCCCTGATACCTCTGCTGGTCTTGCAAAACCCGCGGGGTTCGAGACTTCTTCATCGCTGAACCAGGTAGTTGGGTCATGCAGGCTGTTGATGGAATCCCTGAGCGATCAATAAGCGAACCTCCAGCATCTCATTGCAACCCTTGCGTTCTCTAGCCCCTGCCTTGTGTGCCTTACCCACTGAAACCTCTTGTCAAGCCCGTCAGACCCTCTGGAGCTTGGAGAGGCTTCGGAATCTCTTAAGTCTGATGCTGACGTGGTTGAGAAGCCGGCGCCTCAGTTTTAGGGATTCCGTGAGCACCCTCATAGGCATACTGTAGGACTGCGGGGCTTGGTTCCGGTCTTCGCTCTTGCCGGAGTCCTCGGCTCCTTTTCGCTGAGCAAGCCGATGCAAGTTTTGCATGCATTGGCCCCGCCTGGAACCGCAGCGATTTCAGAAAACGCTCTGCATTTGTAAGTTCACAGCTTAAACTTTCTGGCAAATGCTTTGGCTAGGCGCTCGGCGCTCCGTGCATGGTTTGTGTTCAAGTTTCTGGGGTGGGAGATGGGAGCAATGCTTGAGGCTCGTCTTGCTTCTACCCGACCTGGACGAGGCGCCGTGGAGCTTTTAGGATTGGCCGGACAAGTTCTCGGCGTCCGCTTGCATTCTTCATCAACGATCTAGTCAACTGCCTAGCTTGGGCCATGGAGGCATCAAGCGTGACAGTAGCTCGGAACTCGCAATCTTGGCGAAAAACTGTCTCTGACGGATCACACGAAACGGAGCGTGCAAGACTCTACTGGGCGTGGGAAAGTTGCGCATCAGTTCTCACAGGACGACGGTCTCCTCATGAAACCTTCCAGACGCTAGCAAGCTAGACCGGAGCAGCGAGGGGTAGATCCCGGTACTCGAGGACAGTCAAGGCGTCGCCCTGATGGCACTAGACACTTGCCTGCAGACAGCGGAACTGAAGGCCCGAGGACGGTAAGTTTGTACTGTATTGCATACCGTGTGGCTGAATGAGGCGTTGCGGAGGTCGGCTCAAATTTTGAGTGCAAATATCCATGTGTGGCCAAGGCTTCTAGCTAGTCAAGGAATGTCCTCCCCGGTCGCGTTTTCCGACCACGCAAAATCATCATTCAAGCGCTGTGTTTCAACATGTCTGCTTCTCAAGCCTGGCATGGCAAGAGGGGGACTGTCGTTCAAGTCTGCTTTGTTCCATGTTCCTCAGCGGATCAAGCCTACAGCGTGGGGACTTCTTCTTAAGGCACGAACTGTCGATGCCCTTGATTCACGACGTGAAGCTTGACGATAGGGAGCCTTAAAACCCCTTCTCGTGTTGGTGCCACGCATAGCATGCGGTCGCGAACGACATCGCAGTTTCACACCAATTACGCCTTTGCTGGCCAACTGCAGTAGATCGAAAAACTCCTGATGTGTCATCTACCAAGCTGCCATGAAGCATGTACCCTATGTCATAAGTGATGTGCTCATACCCATCAGAATATTGATTCTCCATCAAAGCCTTGCAGAAACTATTGTGCCGAGGTGCTTCTGCAGTCAGCCCGGCCGGAGGACGTGCAGAATCATGCAGAGGCTCCAGACGATGGAGCAGCTGTGCTGTTCCCTCGCGATGCCTTCAGCATATCTTGGGATGTGCTGACTCTGCTCCCAATGATTACCATCACGTTGCCAGGTCCATCGAAGTTTGCTTGTATGATGCTACATATGGACGACATGGGCGATGCATGGATCAGTCTTTGCGTCCGGCAGAGCCGTCGTGATCTGATGCCATCCATACGTGGCGATTGTTCCGAAACCGATCGCCTCTTTTGCTGTCAGCCTTCGTCTGAAGATCCTATGTGGGTACACGCGTGGCCCGGTGATCGGGGCGGGGGTCGGATGGTTGAGGGGGGTTGAAGATATATCAATCGGGATCTATCAAGAGTGATAACATGGCCGGGCAACTCCTGCATCGCGGTCTAAGAAAGTAATGCGATCACGAGCGACTCCCCACTGAGTGACGGTATTGGCTGATCGTATGTGTGTATATATATATACACAGACATACATGCGTGTATATATATATATTGATTGATTGATTGCATTACACTTACATACATGCATACAGACACAAACTCATACTGTTCAACTCACGACAGGCGATCCAGGAAGCGATGGCATCCTTCAGCAAGACGCAGTTGGAGGACGCTGGCGTGCCGGGCCGCCAAGACAATCCTTCAGGTTGTGCGTCCCGTGTCATCCTAAGGTCTGGAAGTAGAGCGTGCAATCCTCAGCTGAGAGCCTTGCCAGTAAATCTTGTAGACAGTAAATTGACCAGTCGAGCATTCCTCGATAATCAGTCGCCCAGAAACGTAAGCTCAACACCTCAGTCCCTCCAACTCTCGATGCCGCTGCTCGGTGCCTGCAGGCGACCAGCCTTCTTGCAGAGTTTGTCAGAGCCCAAACTGTTGGGGTTCGTGGGGGCAAGACCAAGGCATTGAGTGGTAGCCAGGCAGTCCAGCTACTGTAGTCTTGGTGGAATTGAGGTTTTTCGTCAGAGCTCATGATGGCACAAGCAATAATAGCGTGATAGCTCTTTGGAGGGCAATGTCGCTGCTGCAGCAAGGCTTGTTCGACAGGTTTTGCTCAGCGTTCTGCACTTTCGGGGCTCGGTTGCAAACCGACAACATTGAAGCTTGGATTCGCTGCATGGGCACACCTCTCTCTATGAATCCTTTCTTAAAATGATTCACCCAAAAGTGTGAAGTTCGACGTCGTATTGCAATATCTGGTGGTGTCATGGTCCCACTTGGTACCACACATGGCGCAGCCACCCATGGACTATGAAACAGTCGAGCGGCGCGTAAGGCAAGCCTAGAATTGCTATACTTTTCGTAGAGTCGTCCGGATTGAAGCCTAACCAGGAAAGTCGGGTCATCAGCAGAGCCCGTGCTCATCTGTCAAGTCCGACATGCAAGGGGGATCTGTGGTGCTACAAGGTCAACATGGGCAGATCTAAGTTTCGCAGAGACTTTGGCCTTTTTGCTGACAGGGTGTAGTCACCAACGAGTTCTTTGCGGACTTCATTGTGGCCACAATCGCGGCAACCGCGAGCAGCGCGTTGAGGTCCTGCAGAGCCTGCTAGTGGCTGCAGCAGGTGCGAAGCTGACATGGCATGAGCAACAGTCATGATGGCTTTGATTTCGCGACCAGCATGCATTTCTGCAGACAGAAGCTGTCAGGCTCAAAGAGTGGGTTAAGTTACCAGAGTGAGGAGGACACGATGTCATATCACCTCCAAGTATGTCGTTGGATCCTTCAGCTCGGCTTTCCACTTAGCTGCATTGCATGCAAATTGTATGCAAAGACGGCAGCACAAGGGCGGTCAGCTTGGAAGTCCACTGCACTTCTGTGGCTCATTACAACAATCCACGTGATCCTGGAGTGCAAGTGCGCTGCACTTTTGCAGCTGCTTCCTCCGTCATTGTACTTCGTTGCTGTGATGGGGTTCTACATGTGGCTTCAAGTCCGTGGTCTAGACAAACTGTGCCAAGGTTTGTCCGATGCAGCAGTCATGGTCAGGGCTTTGCCCTCCGTCCTTGTTGCGAAGCTTGCCCATTTCCTGTTGTTGAGGGCCGCTGTGGGAGAGGAGTTTGTTCATGAAACATCTGCAAGTCGCAAGCTCTTGCTGGCGTCATTAATCATCATGATGGATTGTCGCATGATCTGTGAGATGGTCGCAGCGGTCTCCCAACAGCCCCAGCAGCACGTTCTGGAAATTTTGATTATCTCCGCAGCGTTGACCTTGGGATTGTATTGGTTGTTGCAAGAATGCAAGGACAGTCTCCAGCACCTTTCAACAGTGACCATGTCAAGTCTGGAAGACCAAGATGAATCAGATGAAGTGTGCGACCACAATGGGTGGAGCACAGTGCAAGTCCTGACTTCGAGGCTTGATTTGCAGTTTGCTCCGCCAGTGTTGCAGCTGGTAGTCTTGGTTTCGGAGGGGTTCGGAACGCCAGGCCTACTTTCTCGGCCGGTCTTCGGCGTGGCCTTTGTGCTCGTGTACGAATTGTCGCTGTTGCCACCGCATGAAAGCGGAGCATTTCATTTTCTGCTCTTCTTTTGGATGGCCATCTTCTTCTACGAGTACTTCACATGGCTTCTGTTGCTTTGGCTCCTGTGTCAGGAACTGTATCTTGCAGCTTGGCAAATTCAGATGAGTTCTAAGTCTTTGCAGCCCGACCGTCTTGTCAAAACTTGGGATTATAACTGACGTAGAAGCTCTAAGGTCATGTTTTGTGCAGTGACCGGTGTGTCGCACGCGCTGGAACTTGGAGTTCGTGGGGCAACGTGTGCGGCCTACGTCCATTTGTGCGAAGTGATGCAACTGCGGATCGGGCTTCTTGCAGTGATGGGCATCGTGAAGTTCATGATGTTTTTCATTGTCTGGAATTTTGGCTCTATGGCATGTGCTCTGGTTGGACAGCATGTCAACGACAGCTTGCGGATGGCGATGGACGCATTGCATACCCGAGATAAAGTTTCCTGCGAAAGAGCTCTCTATGTTGCTTCGTTTTTGCCGACTACGTACCAGATTTCCGCAATTGCGATCGGCACATTTGGCTTCTTGTTTCGGCTTGTCCCATGGGCTTGGGTATTGAGAGCCCCGACTTTCTACCGCCGTTTCACCAAGAAGCTGGACCTGGTGCAAGATTCAGTTTGCGGTACACTTCTCTCAACAGGCTCCAGCAAGATCGCGGAGGCATGGTTCCACATCCATCAGAGGCGCTTTCCTGATCAACATGAATGCAGCTTGTGCTGCGAGGTCAGAAGCGAGATTGAAGCTCCAGCATTCCCGGGGTGTGGACACAGAATTTGCCGTGATTGCAGGCGAAAATCGGTCATGGAGATGTTGGACATTTCATTCTCGTGTCCATGCAGCACTGATGAATCGCCTTGTATTGAGTATGACAACTATATTCTTGAGGAGATATTCAAAGGAAAGAAATCACGGCTTCCCGGCATCATTTCAGCCAAAGCTAGCCGGGAAGCAGCTGCGGGCATTGTGGAAGGAGAGACTTTACGTCACTGCTCCTCGCCAGATTGCCCTGGCACGTGGAGGGTGCAGGTCGGGGACGGCGAGCAGCCAGAACGCCAATGCCGTTCCTGCAAGGCCTGCAACAGGGTCACCTGCACAAGTTGTGGATACCCCTGGTATGCCTTAGATTTGGTCATCGACCGTTCCACTGCAATTGCTGAGCAGATCATCTTGTTGCCCTGCCTGAGCTCCTGGACAGGAATCTATGTCGACACTTGCTCAAGCACCCTTGTCATGTACCGTGACTTGTTCGGGCGGCACGATCAGATGACGTGCGAGCAATATGCCACCTTTCTGCGAGAGCAACTTCCAGAACTGCTGAATCAATACACAAGGGCTTCAAGCGAAGCGATGAATACTTTATGGGACACCAACCTGGCCAGGTCGTCGTTTTTACTGAATTCGAGTTGGAACCTGATCGCCAGGCTCTGTCAAAATGGCATGTCTTCAGTATCGGTATGGCCTGAGCACTCTGCACGAGAACAGGGAACTGGACGGCGTGCCAACAGGTTTGAGGAGCTTGCCGGTGTAATTCCATCGTTCACCCCAGACATGTTTGGGCCTAAGGTAAAGGACTGTCCCAGTTGTGGAGCTCGCACATTCAAAGACGGTGGCTGCAATCACATGACATGCAGCCTTTGCCACCATTCGTACTGCTGGATGTGCTTGCGAGTTTGGCGCACATGTCATTGCCCACAGTTTTGACACCTATGGTGCCTTTTCGGATGCAAGGTGTTTTTCCCATACGCGGTTTTTGCTTGCATCCTTGTACAGGTCTTCCACTCGTCCTTTAACGAGAGTCCGGTCCAGATTCAACTAATATTTCCAGCCCACTCTCCTCAGCTTGGATTTTCGTCAGACCTGGATCGGAAGACCCAGACGTGAATGACAGCCTGTCAGTGACAGGTACACAGACTCAGCTCACCATCGACCGTTCAAGAGCATGCCTGCGCTTATGTGTCCCTGACTGTGAAGTGACCAGCCATGTGCAGATTGCCTGCTTTCCACCATCTTCCAGCGCACGCAGGACGCCTTCATTCACTGCGCTCACGATTCACTTGGACCATGACTTTGGATTGCCGCGCCCACAGCTACAAGCATATCGCATTCTTTGTGTTTGAAATGGGTGGTTTGTCCCCGTACTAATCGCTTATTACATCTTGACCCCGAAGAGCAAGAAATTCATCGCAGTAATTGAGCCAGTCAGGGCCTGTAGCATCTATATGCAATCAAGTGGCCCGGTGTTCAGTCGGTCTCGGTTGCGATGTACGTTTGTGTCCTTGCCCTCCTCAGCCTTGGGTCGAACTCAGCTTATGATTGGGAGTCCGGTCCTACCCTCTTGCAATGTACTCGTTTGTCTTGTTTGCGCAAGGGTCCCCCCGATAAGTGCAGGTTACTTGCAATTTCTCCTCCATACCCTCTAAATTTTGCATTATGCACATCATTCTACCGATAGTGTTTATTATGACGACTCCTGCAGTCAAGCTTCACATTTCTGTAATGCTTTGCATACATGCTGTCTGTTTGATGATGCTTCAATTTCTTCCTATGCATGTGTTTCCTTGTCGAATCAAGCTTTCCTGCATGCTAAAGTGGGTGTGGTATTGTCTTCGCCTGCGCAAATTGTAGTCGAGTGTACCCCGCCAAATCTCCAGCCAATATACAAAGCCAGTGATTAGACACTCTAGCGCCGGGCAGTCGAAGCATGAGCCCCAAGCGTCCAAATTCATTGTCTCCCGTGGACGTAACCCTCGAGTTTTGATCCAGCAGCTATCTTTATGTGGAGCATTTCGGATGCACCTGTGTCATCATGAAGGCCATTAAGCACATGTGCCCGCCATCCACTCAACGGCGAGAGCTCAAGCCCTTTCCCTTTAGATTATTTCCTAGTCATCGGAGGTTTTGAAGGCCGAGCCTTTTCTTTTCAATGCTATCTGCTGCATTGGCCAGTGCGCCAATTCTTGGGCAATCCTGTGCTGGACCGCTTGTGGCTCGGATGGCGATCAGCCGCGCAGCCTTAGCTTGCCACACATGACACTCGATCCAGTCTTGGCCACAACAAAAGTAGTTGACCGTCTGCACACACAACAGATCCCCGCAAACATCGCAGCATCGATTCGAGCCTGATGGAAATACAGTCGAGTCTTTTAGCACCTGAACTGGTCTTGGTCTTGCATACCCGAGCTGATGTTCCAGTTGCCGATGTTTTCGCATGGTGCCGACCTCTGTCAGACCCTAGAAGACAGACCGTACAACCATACACAAACCGGCTCGAACTCCCACAGTCGAGCCGGCTCCCGCCATACGCCCCAAGACCCAGACCCCGAAGCCGAGCGCTTGTAAGGACCCGAAGTGGAACCCGAACAGCACACAGATCCCTAGCACCTTCTAAACCCTGAACCCTGAACCCTAAACTGGTGTCATGGCGGCCGCGGAGCAGTCTGAAGCGGCTTCGGCCCCCGTCGAGCACGTACGCAGAGAGGCCTTCGAGGTCGAGCTCTTCGTAGGACCGGGTTCTGAAACGCGAGGGCTTCGGTGGAAAACATGTTGAGTCGCACTTTTACTGTTCTTTCTGTCCTTCATGTTTTGGGTTGCAGGATTCCTAAACCCTAGACCCGTAGGGAGCGCATGGCAAGCCCATACTGCACCTCGACTTTCTTCGATCCATGTGTTCGAGTAGACCATATGCGCGATATCATATGCATGTCGCAGTTGCCGTCAGCGGACGGTGCTTTTCCTGCGAGGAGATACTGACACTTTCCAGCCTGGAGAGAGCATATCGTCAACCATTGGAGGAGCGAACCCAAGTCGCTGTTTTCAGATCAAGATGTTCAAGGGTTGACCCTCCCTCGTTCCAAGTTACTATGACTCCCACATTCCACAACAGAAAGCTTCGCAAGCTTGCCTTTAGTTGGCAATAGCGTGCAGCGCTTGCACTCAGGACCTTTGAATTTCTATCGGTTTCAGATGACGCTGTTCCCCCATGGATTGAAAGAGGAGGAGGGTCTCCTGGACAGGTTTGTGGCAGTCAATGTGCAGATGCTGCCTCCGCGAGAGCTTGCGGGTTGCAGCTGGAGCTGCGAGGAAGTCGAGGTGGAGGTGGTGCTTCACAACTGGTACGACTATGGTGTTCATTGCTGGGACGTCATGACTTTTCAGAACAGCGACGATACCTGTCGCTTCGGTTCTATCCTCCCCACCAACAGTTTGCAAGTGGACCTGGGCTGGCTGAACTCCGAGAAGAAAGTCTTGGTGGTGGGAAGACTAAAGCTTCCAATTCCCCGGGATGCTTTTGGAGAGAGCATCCGGGCCTTGGACTTGAGTCAGGAAGTCACGCAAGTCACCTTCCAGCTCTCCCAAGGGCCTCGTCGCTTCGACAGAAATGATGTAACTTTCTTGTAACTTCTCTGGCTTCCCCGCTCTTCTCCTTTGGAGTCTGCATAGTTTGCAAGGCCTCTTCATGGACAAGCGCCTGCTCATCAGCCGCTCGGAGTATTTCAAAGAGATGCTCAGCGAGCCCAAATGGAAGGAGGCCAGGACCAACACCATCGACCTCAGGCCTGGCCCGCTTTCGGTTGCGGGAGTTTACTTGGGCTGCTCTTAGTATGAGAATATTGAGAGACTGAGAGCTGTGCTTCTTGAAGATTGAAGCTTGCACCCCTCTTGCAGAAGCGACACGTCCGTCGATCATCGCTCTTTCAGCGCGTGTCTCGGCAGCGACCAGACATCTGCTAGCTAACGAAGGCCGCCTCTCCTTGGCACAGCTTGAAGCTCAGGCTGCTGTTCTTTATCATGTCCAACACCTTCACAGCTGGTGGTGACACCAACTTCGCTTTCGCCGTCCGGCGGCTGGCAGACAGGCACTACAGCTGTAAAGAAGCTAAGAGCTTGAGGCCTCTCCAGCTCCACCAATGGTCCTTAAGGGGGATTGCCCAAGCTCAGTTGCGAAGCGCAGCAACACCTGGCCTGTTTAAAGACCTCTTGTGCATAAACCGCCACTCCTTGCATGTCCTGCGCTGTGCACCCGCGATGAAAACTGGGCCATCTTAAGCCATAACCTTGATGCGTCCAGGTATCGCCTTCCTCAGCTGGTCGAGAAGATCGAGGCTGCGCCCGCAAAGTTAAAGCAAAATTGATACGAGTTCATGCAGGCAGACGGATCGTTGCAGGCCGGCCTTTGTTGCTGCTACTGTACAATCTGCATACTTAGTGGGAAAAAGAAACGAGCATTACAGCATTACATGAAAAGCCGATTGCTAGGTTATGCAGAATCTCTGCTATCCACAAACATCTTTGATGACATCAGTGTTTAAACGCTTCGGAGCCGAACGATTGCTGTTGAGGTGGAGCTAGTGAACATGCTGTCCGCCGACAACGTCCTCGCGTGCCTGGGCCAGGATGTACTAGGAGGTGCCGTTCCGCACTTTGGGTCTTGCTCCGAGCTCCGATGAGAAGATCGAGCAGCGAAACCTCAGCAAGCGCCCGGCCTCACGAAAGATTGCAGTGAAGCCACCCCCCCCCCCCACTTCGTTAGCCAATACAGCCGTACTGAAACACCCTCAACCCTAAGACCCTAAAACCCTAAACCCTAACTGCGCTGTCTACGAAGGTTCCTGGGCCAAGTGGTTGGCAGCGGAGGCCTCCTGGAGCTGGCCTGCCTGGAGATGATTAAGGCCCGACTTCGGAGCTTCAAAACTTCGAGAGCTTAGGCCGGTGAGGCTACTAGTGGGGTGTAGGGCGAAGGGTCGTGCAGAAAGTTTTCATGTTGGGCTTCCATTTAGTTGCAGTCTCGGACTGTGTCAGACCAAGTACTGCACAACACATTAGGCTCTTGCGGGAGTCAAAGGAAAAGTTGAGCTTAGATCTGCCGCTGTTACACTGGCAGCTGTTGAACAGCTTACATTCCTTTGCAGCCACGACGAGCCGAGGCCGACGAATGCGAGATCCTGAAGTCGAAGCACGAGAAACTTGGCTTGTTCCTCACTCTTCGTCCCGGTACCCGCAACCATGCGTCAACATCCGTGGACACGATGTTGGCAATCTCCCGCCAGGCTTGGAAAGCACCAGTTTAACACCGCACAGGAAACCATGATAAGCAGGATCCTCTGTTCTATTGTGGAACAACTGGGCGATGGTGGTGGTAATGCTGACGATGTTAAGCATGATGGTGGTTACGGCGACGATGATGATGCGGAGGAGGAGGAGAAGAAAAAGAAGAGGAGGAAGGAGTTTGGTTAGGAGTATTCGTCGTCGTGATCGTTTGGTTAGAGTACGTGCCATTGCTTGAGTGGACAAACTCATAGTAATGGTGCAACGGCGAGTGGCGATGGAAGCGAGTCACTTGGACAGTTTTTTCCGGCAGCAGCAGTCGTCGCTGTCGCCGTAGTCAGAAGTCGGCTCGTCACGATTGGAAGGAAATACACGCGAATATTGATTGAATAAAAAAGACCTGGATGAAAGACAACACGAACATCCCTGAAAACCATCTTCTTCTTCTCGGCTCCGTGAGTATCAGAGACTATGAGGACGCTGGACCAGATCATCGAGGATCACCCGGACCTGGCCAAGCGCATCATGCGGCTCTTAGTTGGCCGCACCGGGAAGAAACGCCCTCTCGGGGGCGATTGAGGTCGCAGCCTCCTGTAGACTTGCAGGCTTTAGTGCTTTAGGCTTTTGCGGGGAGGGTTATGCTGTAGTCCGGAAGAAGAAGAGATGCAGGTATAGCAATCCTCAGCTTGAGACCGTGTCGGCGATTTATCTGAACTACGTAAGGCTTCGGGATTTCGAGAAGCCTGTTAGGGCGGACTTCTCAGCCACTGCAAGCACATCGTTTTCGCAAGGCCCAGCTTGGATTGATTGATCTGGGGCTGCCCTCTTTCTGCTGCCGTTCCAAAGGGCGCAGCAGGTGCTGCCATCTGCCTGTGTCTTTCTGCTTTTCGCCATCACAGTGCCCTCAACCGTAGGCAACTCGGAGGGGTCCTGCAAATTCTGACGCCTTTACAGCTATTTTTTTCCATTTTTGTGCCCGAACTCTTTCATGAGGGCCCCCTCCTTCAATGCAGGAGTCTGTTTCTACGTGGGGAAGAGGCGGCTAAGTTTAGGCCAGCCAAAGCTTGTGCTGGCTGCAGTTAATCAGGCCAGATGCCACGAGGGTTGGCTTTCAGGATGGATCAGGCTCGTGGTTGTCGCAGTTGTATGTAGTTCGATACTGACTTCTCAGTTTGCTTTGTGCTGTGTCGCCAAGACTGGCAGGGCTGGTCAAAGAAGGCAGTTCCCAAGGAGGGCAAAGTACTGGAAGCCGTTGATGTGACTGTAGTGACGAGAACACCAACCGTCCCCCCTCAACTGTTGGAGGAACTTGCTGAGGCGGCAAGCATAGCTTACCGGGGCCTCAGAAAACGAATCTTCGGTTTGGATTCTCAGAGCAAATATCCGACTGAACAGAATCTGAAGGCGGCCCAACACTTCCGGCACAAAAAGGCTGCAAGCTTTCTGTTGCATTGTGAGAGCCATCGGGGACGCTTTGCCGCATCTGCGAAGCCTGGCAGCCAGCCAAGAGCCCGAGAGCCTAGAACGTCTGCGCTGAAACTCATCCAGGTCCTGTGACGAACCTTCTCAGCCAGCTGAGCCGATCAGCCAGCACGCGCACTTGGCAAAAGACAAATTGCGGCTGTGATCGCAAGAGTAGTCAAGCCCCTTCATCATTGGCAAGCCGGGAGCCCCCATGGAAGCAAAGTCCGCAACTCTTCGCGATTGTGGGAGCTCAACGGAACTCTTCGAAAGTACTCCACTGCAAACATATGGTAAGCAAGCCGCTCTTCCAAGTGGAACTGCTATTTAGAGGCTTGAGCGCACATTCAGCAAGATGATGCAGGATGTCTCTCGTTACCGTAATGAAGAGATGCCTCGGTCAGTTTGCTACTCCGATGGGTAAACATACTGGGAATTACTGCATCGCTTGGGCAACCTACACAAGCTATGGTCATGACAAGTCGTCGTCGTCAAACTTAGCATTGCCGAAGTTCAGGATGCCTACGACCTCGCCCAAGAGCTCACACAAGTCCCTTTCGAAGTCCCAAGAAGGAATCGTGCGACTGTGTTGATTGGCATTGTTTTTGGCTCGATCACTCATCACTGCGGAGAGTCGCGAGATTGCGCGGTCCTCAGCGTACAGCTTGCAGGATCTAGCACGATGCCGCACGACGAAGCGAGTGACACGTAGCAGAATACTCGCTGTAAGGACAGTACTAACAACATATAGTTTAACAACAACAGAAACAATGTTGAGCCAGAGGACAGCAGAGTTAGAAAAGCAAAGATAGATAAGAAAAATAAGAATAGGCATAACAATAAGGGTGACAATGTCCATCAACACACAGTGCTAGCGCAGTAGTCGTTCATAATTATCATGGAGCATAATTGACACTCTCATCGTCAGCATCACTGTCACCATCGTCACCATCAATGTAGTCGTCGCCACAATCATCACTGTCGTTATTGTTGATGCGCTCATGCTCCACGATGCTACGTTCGTTGACATCAGTGCTTCGGATGAATACTCCTGCTGCCGTACCGCAGCTGTGTGCGACGGAGACCCAAACCTCATTCCTGAAGGTTACGTAGTTCCGACCATTCTGCTGTGCGTCTATGGAACCTAGGAAATCAGGATTTCAAGCAGAAGCAGCCCCCGAATGCGCCGCTCCTGAGGTGGCTGCGGCATGCACCCGCCAGGCCTCAAAGCCGAGGTCGCATCGGGCTTTGGGATTCACTGGGTGGGCCTCTACGGGGTGCATGCACGTGGGTGCTCAGCGCAGTCCAAGCTGGGGTCTCCTTGAGTGCGTAGACTACAAGAAGTCTGCATTCGAGTGTGCGTTTGTGTCCGTGGGTGGGTGATGGCTCAGTGACAGAGGCAGTGGTGCATCACCATTGACACAAGCAGAGAAACCGCATCCACTCCTGGCTTGCAGGCTTGCGTGCAGCCATGGCCACATCGAAGGCTGTGTGTGCACATGCAGCCTGCCGGGCATTGCTGGGCCATGCAGGGCTTAACGATAATGATCATCAATAATAATATATGTAATAACAAGCACAAGTTTTGATAGGAATCGTAATCATAATAGTTGATAGGTTGCAAACGAAAGTGAGAACTAACAGAATGAGAGCAACAACAATCATACGTAATAAGCTATAAGCAAGAAGCGAAAAATCATAATACTTTTTTCTTATCATGATGTATGCTTGGGTGCCTAGGGTGTAGGCAGCCGTCCCCGGCGAAGCCGAGTCTCCTACCGGAAGCTTCACCTTTTTCCTTGCGGATGTTGTGGATTGCGCTAGGCCTAGAGAAACGATGCAAATCAGGATGCATCGCACATGTCCAGCGTTGTCCTTCTTGCCAGGTTCTACAGCCTTTGAATGCTCACAATGAGGCGTTGCAACTTCGCTCCCGCGCATTGCATTTGCTCGTGCTTGGTGCGTTGTCTCGGGTATCACAAAAGCACAGACTGACACTGCGCTGGCTCTTTTTTCAGTGGGTATCACTGAATCCATAGCTCAGAGATGCCAAGCAAAGGGCCGGCCGACCTTAAGGATTCGAGCAGGGATGCTGGGCACAGGCATACGAGCCGCCCATGATCAGCCTGACTGCTGCCCCTGAATCGGTCCTTGCCTCGGCTGTTAGACATGTGCCCACACTTCCAGACGATGCATATCTGATGTATGGTCGCTGAAGCCTTCCTACATGTTGCACATGCCACGTGGGTTGTAGATAACCTAGTTTTCAGCCAACAGCGCTATGCGAATTCTACCATACAGAGTTTTTCTGTTCTGCGCATACAGACATGCGACTGTTACATGCATATGTGCATACTCAAGCATACGAGCCTGCAGGGATACATGTACGTGTATGCACGTTTACCGGCATAGAAGGTTGGCACGCACACAATCATGCATGTGAATGTCTTCCAGTATGGTGCGCGTGTCTGTGTGTGCGCGCGCTTAGCTCCTGATAGGTCCAAGATGAAGATTTCAAGGTAGGCATGTTGGTTGTTGGGCTGTCAGGGCCGCTCAAAGGATCTCAGCTTACGGATGGCAATAAGAAGCTGTTGTTTATTCGGGACAAGGGCACCAATCCTCAACCCTGCTGCAAGCATCTCCTTTCGACCGGAGGATGAGCCGCCAGTCGTCAAAGAAAGGCCTGGTCATGGGGCTTGAGGTTTTGAGGAATATAGGGAGAAGGTTGATCAACAGGCCATTCCTGGGCAGAGCCGCAGGTGAATCCCGTGTTTCAATCCGATCCAAGACCTGACATCTAGCGGAGGCAGTGGCAATGGGCGCGGCCACAGGTGGAAGGTGCTTGATCGCTGTTGGCGGGTCGGGTAGCCTGCTGGAGAGACTATCTGCTGCTAACTGAGCTGCTTCACGCCTCCTCCCATTCAATTCAGACCACTCCTCCTTCAAGAAAGTCCCTGCTTGAACTTCTCCTTTGAACCATTTTAATCCGTCAATTGCCAAGCTTGCAGGCGAAGGTCCGTGTGCCCGAGGTGGCCACACTGCAACGCTTGGGCCCATGCAACTACGTTCTGTGCAACAGACAATGCTTGGCATTAACTCTATGGCCCTTCTGGTGGAGTCCTGAACTCCTCAATCTCGCAGGCGCCCAGGGTTGTATGCGAGGGAGAGGTATCATTGCCACTGCGCTCTCAGTGTGATTCGTACTTTGGTGAGACACAAGTTCGAGGTTGCAGCATCTTGTAGCAGCCACGGAAGACCGAGAACAGCATGCTGTCTGCTGGAATTGAACAACGAATTTCAGAAGCAGCGGCCAAAGCAGTACTCAGGTACAAAGACGAAAGTAACTGTATCTGGATTGCTACTCACCGATCAAAGTTGCCACGCCAAGTCCTAAACTTCATGCGGTCTCCCATTTGCCACATCCGAGGCTTGTTGGACCGACTGATGCGCAAAAGCCTTCGGCCACATCCCCGGTAAAGAATTGCGCTTGCAGATGCTGCAAGAAGCCGAGATGACAAGACCAAGAACACATAAGATGCGAAGTGAAGACTTTGCAACTTAGAAACCCCGGCACCCCTTCTGAGCGACGACTTGCGTGCTGCCAGTGAACTGCTGTCCCGTATTTACCAAGTACACAGTCAGGAATGGGAGAAAGCTGGAAAGGCAGGGGGGTATGCTGCACAGGTGCTGAGAGGGCTGGGTAGATTACCTGGCCTTCCCAGAAATCGTCCCTCCCAGGCCCGGATCGTAATATTTGGTGGCCACTATGACGGGGGTGCGGGAGCCGCGGCCTGAGAGTGCTGAACAGTGAACTTCACCCCACAGACTTCCGGCAAAACAGCGCTGTGACAAAAGAGGACTATAGCCTATAGCAGACTAACAGAATATGCTCGTGATGGCTAGCTTGATGGTGAAGGTGAGGACGTTGATGTTGACCACCATCACCACTATCATGGTCTGATGCTGCTAACGAGGATGGGGCGAAGATCATTGCACTACTCATGATGATGCTTGTGGTGACCCGTAGGATTGCAAGAGCGATGTCTACGACGTCGATTGCACAACCACAACCCAGCAACGACGAGAAGCACCACGACAACCACAGCAAAATCCATGACCGCAGGAAGAAAGAAGCCCGCAAGCACAACTGCAGCAGAAGCAACACAGTACAGCAGAACTAGAGTTCAGCATCGGAAGATTACTGCTAACGAGTCCGAATGCCGCAGTCCACACCTTGCTGCACATGTTGCACAGCTGCCCAATGTCATCAATGTTAATTGTTGTTCGCCCCTCGTCGCCTTATTGCACCAGACGATGGTGACGAGACACCGAATCCGATGACAAGTGCTTAGCCATACGCATAGCAAGAGCAATCGTACAACAATCATATTACAACTGAACACTGGATCGTACACTTGCAAGTATCATGACCATACTTTACTGTTATGGAGAATCAAACAGGAGCCCCTGATGGAAATTGCGAGGAGGCCGCTGACAATAATGTCAAAGCCAGGACACTGCCACATGCTCCCCAAAGATGCATGATGCCCTGCATCACAAGCTAGTCTTTTGGGACGAGCTTCGCCTCCTCCCAACCTGTCAAAACCGATGGCATGCTTTGTCGGAAAGTCTTTGGTGATGCCACAGTGGTGTCAGTGCAGCTTGCCATGAAAACATGCGGCAACACTAGTGAACTACCAAAGAGCAGGGCGTAAAGAAACGTTGACAACTCACGGCATGCAGGCTGGATTTATCTACCTAAACGACACTCACATCCTTGATATCGACGAGAACACCTGGACAGTTCCGCCGGTGCCCCGGAAGTCGCTGCACTATGCTGCACTCACTTGTCGACCTGAGTCGGCATTGCCAATGTCGCGGCTCCGAGCTGCTTCACAGGGGCATGGGCGTAATCCCGTCACTGTTGACCTGCCAAGGCGATGTCGGGGTACAGCACCCCTTCCGTCCCCTGGCGGCAGAATCAGGGACACACCGGGGCTCAGAATATAGATTCCGAGTTTCAGGAGGGCTTGAACTGTCGGGATCTAGTCTAGCGCATGACATGATGTTTCAGTCACCATCTCGTGGGACGAGCCTCAGTTGGATATGTTCTGGGGACACGTAGCGGAGAAGAAAGCGAACATCGGAAAGGCAGTCCGCGCAGGTGCTCGTTCCATTGCATCCGGAACGCAATCCGTGCAGGTATTCTGCAGCTCCGTGTAGGTGATCGAACATGCTAGGTCGTCTCACCAAGGAGAGCTCACACAAAGATGACAGGAACTATGAGCGGAAAGAGAGGCCTTGCAGCTCTATCCGGAATGCAATCCGTTCAGGTTTTCTGGCCTTTGCCGTCTATTTGCCGGAAACAGCAACAAGCGAGCTCAGTGTAGGTGATCGATCACGTTTGGTCGTCTCACCAAGGAGAGCTCACACAAAGATGCGTTTGTGTCCTTTGCAGTGTTGTCATCGGGTCTGCGCAACGACAGGAAGTATGAGCAGAATAGGAAGTATGAGCAGAAAGAGAGGCCTTGCAGCTCTATCCGGAATGCAATCCGTTCAGGTTTTCTGGCCTTTGCGGTCTACTTACCGGAAACAACAACAAGCGAGCTCAGTGTAGGTGATCGACCACGCGTGGTCGCCTCACCAAGGAGAGCTCACACAAAGATGCGTTTTGTGTCCTTTGCAGTGTTGTCATCGGGTCTGCGCAACAATAGGAAGTATGAGCCGAAATAGAGGCCTTGCAGCTCTATCCGGAATGCAATCCGTGTAGGTTTCCTGGCCTTTGCGGTCTATTTACCGGAAACAGCAACAAGCGAGCTCAGTGTAGGTGATCGATCACGTTTGGTCGTCTCACCAAGGAGAGCTCACACGAAGATGCATTTGTGTCCTTTTCAGTGTTGTCATCGGGTCTGCGCAACGACAGGAAGTATGAGCAGAATAGGAAGCATGAGCAGAAAGAGAGGCCTTGCAGCCTTGCAGCTCTATCCGGAATGCAA